CAATATCACATTCACCTATTTTAATTTTTAATTTTTTTAATAAATCAATTAAAATTTTCAACAACAATTGTACAAACAACTTTATTCTTTGTTTTCAATTTACTCCTTTCCGTCTGTGCTTTACGTATCCCTTCTTCCAAGAAATGCTGTCCCATTATTTAAAAATAAAAAATAAAACGGGAAAAATAGAACAGAGCTCGCGAACTCTCTCTTTATGTTTCTCTCTCGCTTAGGGTTTTAATCATCTCATCAAATTCCTCTGTAATCGAACCAAGCTCATCAAAATGGTTTGCAATTGTTTCTCTTGCAATTTTGAGCTACAATTCTCTAATTAGTTCCCCAATCAATTCAGATCTCGAATGTTAATTTTCTACCTTTGATTTTGTGTTGCAGGAAAATGAAGGGGGGAATTTGGACGCGAAAATAGAGACGTTACTGAATGTGGAGAAGCAGATGAGGCAAGCTGGTGACGTGGCCGGCACCAGAAAGGCAGTCAGTGATATTCTGCAGCTCTGCTTCGATGCCCGGGCTTGGAAAACTCTCAATGATCAGATTGTTCTTTTGTCTAAGCGCCGTGGCCAATTGAAACAGGTCTAAACAATTTCCTTAGTATCCTTGCGTCGTTTTAATTTTGTCCACATCACTGCTGTTGTAGTTTGTTGAATTATGATTTTTATTGTTGAAAATATATGTTTTTTGCTGTTCATTCGTAAGATTTGGGGGTAATTTTTGTTTAGTTTAGAATTTTGGTGGGGCCGTCTGTAGTTGACTTGTAAAACCATGGGCCAGTACTGATGGACCTAATTTACTTAATATGTTTATTTCAATTGATTGTATGTAGTTCTTTGTAAAAATTGACTTGGATTGTTTGCGATTTTTGGAGGAATTGTTGATAATTTTTATTTGAAGTGCTGAATTAATAAGTAAATAAAAATGTCAAAATAATCATAGTTTTTTGGTAGTTTCATAGGAAAAAGAAAATGTGGAGACTACAAGAAAGTGGTATATTTTATAGTCTTTTAACATAGTTATAGGTCAATGTTGTCGATGAAATGTTTACTTGCTAAGTGGCAAATTCTAGCATTGGTTGACCTTTGCCCATAAAGAGCTCATAGAGAAACTGTCAATTCTCATATAGA